CTGTTACCACTTTGTGGCTGAGTTGCTGTCATTCCCAATCACGTCCACTTTTTTATAATACCACTAATAGCTGACTGTGGAACATTTGGCAGCAAGATAACTTGATGACTGGACTTGTTGCACGGGTTGCATCCTGTTACGGTATCACACTGGAATTCACTGAGCTTCTGAGAGTGAGACATTTTTTTCCACAAATGTTTGTAGAAGCAGTCTGCATTCCGAGGTGCTTGATTTTATACACCTGTGGCCATGGAAGTGATTGGAACACCTGAATTCAATGATTTGGATGGGTGAGTGAATGCTTGTGACAATACAGTACATGTGTGTTTACTTTTATATCATTTTGCCAAGAATGACTTTTTCAATAAAACTATTCTATCCTGAACTAACAACAGAGTCCAGATATTTACAGCAGAGACATGTCTTTTCTTTTAAATTCCTAATGACCAGCAGTGCGAGTTGCACATACAAAAGAAAGGGGGTTTTTTTTGACACTCAAGGTCATTACATATAACATCTGGGCCAAAGTTTATGTGTGCAGAGGTCTCCTTTCCTTGACCCCATAATTCAAAGCTGACTTGAGATCCATCAGACCACATCCATCTGCCTTCTTTGTGAATGTCACCGAGTCCGATCCAAGTGAAGACATTTTCACCACTTAAGGTCTTACACAAGGTTTGGATAAAATTATGTTCCTTCAGACTGGATGGACACAAGGTTGGGTCCCTCTGACACACAGTGCAGCTCTGCATCAGCCCAGGTCATAGTTACAGCATTGTGCATGTAGCAGCTGTAGCTGTACCAGGGGTTGGGGACAGTTACCACACAATAAATGTACTTCTTGTTCATCTGAAGTCGATAGAGCACCCAGAACCAGCAAGAAGACAAGGTCATCGTGTTAGGGTTTTAATCCGTCACTTTTGATAAAGTGTGTTGCTGGAATTTAAAAGGTGGATGTCACCAAGAATCCTATAGAGAAATGTGACTGGATGCTTTCTTTTATGGACTCCATAGAGGGTGAGTGCAATGTTAGTCAAATATCAATGGCCAAAAGCACTTTCGCCAAATAAAAAACTAAACTTCATTTGGGCGTAACTGCACAGGATTTGAATATAAGTCAGAAAAGACCTTCCCTTCTCCATTGTCAGTCAGATTTTGACATAATCAAACATACTTCAGAGATTACACTGAACCGAGTCTGATATGACTGTCGTCACATCAGCCACCACATTCACTCGTCCACATCTACATAGTATCCGAACATCGGCCAACAAAAAGACAAACACCTGGAGATATGTCACATAAAACCTATAATTTATTCCTTTTCAGTAAAATCTTCACATAGTAAAACGCAGCTTTAGAAAAGACGTGACTTCAGCCGTCTGAAGGTCGAGGGGAGACAAAGGGAGACGTATTGCTTTGTGGTTGACTTTCTTTTTTTTTCCCCATTTACAACAGATAAATAACATACCAAACATAGGCATATATTTACACATCAACAATATTACAATAGTACAAAGCCTTCAACATGTCCTCTCTTGCATTGTGAACATTGTGGTTTTGTTTTGTTTTTTTCGTCATGCAAACAGGTTTTAAACAACACTGTTCTAAAAAAAAAAAAGTAACTTTAGACACTCATAACAGTGGCCGAGTAACACTACATAGAGTCTCTGTTGGTCTCCTCCCTATTACAGTTTTTACTGCTAACAAAAAAAAAAGCAACAACAACAAAAAAAAAATCGGATCTCTGATCTGGTCCTCTGCTGCCCTCATGTGGCCACAGAACGTGACAGCAAGTCCTTTTACTTTCCCTCTTTTGCAGTTTCAAACCACAAACATCTTCTTCTGCACTGTTAAAGTTCCTGACATGGCACAAAAAACAGAGACATTTTTTTCCACCTATGAAATACATAAATAAACAATATATTACAATAAATAACTTCTGCTCTCTCAACACAACGAGCAGAGGTGTGTGTGCATGTGCGCTTTGTTTACAGGTTAATAGTAAAAATGACTACCACGAGGCCTTCATGTGACACTGAATTCAAACAGATCATGGCTCTCATTCATCACCTCCAGCCAGGCAAAGAATCACCAGCTTGCTTTCCCCACAACCAAAAAAGGAATCTTTAAAAATTTGAAGAGAAAAAAATAAAGCCAAACAAATTAAAGTAATAAGAAGGTTAAATTTGTTTAGTGCAGCAACGTGCAGCAAATGATGGCAAACATCAGATGGATACAGATGAATGCTCAATCCGACTTTTAACTAATTCTGAACGTGTCAGTTTTCTTTCTCTAAAGCACGACTGGACTCGAGGATTTTACACGACTCCAATACTCTTGAGATAAATACAAAGCAATGAAATGCAGACTAAAGCTGTGTCTGCAAAACACTCAGTGACAACAAAAGGGTTAGAGTGTATATTTCAAAGAATCTTTAATGCACAGTGAGAAGCAGCTTATAACACAAGAACTATGTTTAACGTGACTCTTCACCTTCACATCCTTGAGTTCTTTCTTGTAAAGAACCAACGATGCCTTTGGCACTAAAACAGTGTCAAGAACTTTAAGAAGGTTCTGATCTAGAGGTGGAAAAAACAGCTCTTTGCTGTGAAAGTGTTTAAATGATGATGGTGGACACTTGTGGCAACATTTCTACTGTATTGCACTTCATCCTAATGTCTTGCCTTAGAAGAATCAAAAACAATGCAACACACATGTGGCAATGTGGAAGAAAGCCTACAGATGTTTCCTCCCACTCAGCAGAAATGTATTGCTGAAAAAACAGGCAAGGCATGAACAGATATCGGGCACAAAACAATGAGAATACTAGTATGTTTTTCCCTTAATCTCTATTTCTCATCATCTGTCATTACTCCTCTGTGATTCATCCAGTAGTCAATTTCTTTCGCAGAGTGATAGTTTGTGTAACAAGACGGCAGATTCTACTAATGGAAATATTAAATAAGGGTTTTTCACGTCTTATGGCTTTATCAACAAGACAACAACATAACTTGGGAACTAATTGGATTCAAAGTAAATTTCTTTAGGAGAACCACAATTAAAAGGTTCAACAATCTATAGAAGAACCAAAATTAAATATCCCATCCATGCACGTGTTATTATACAGGAATTCTCTGTAATTGTGCTTCCATTATTCAGTCTCTCCCTTTGTTATCTTTCAAAGAGTTTACATGAGACCACTTCTGCATGAAGTGATATTTTCAGTCAGTAGGAATTAATCGAAATCTCCTCTTAACTCTTATTGAACCCTTAATGATGACCTCTGACACCTCAGCATATATCAAGAAAGATGTGGTTTTATGACCATTAGACTAGTTTCTGGGTTTTTCTAAAGGTAGGCAGAGACCGCCCTCACTAACTTCTGAGGCACACTCAGTCATTTTGTTCTATAAGTGGACCTGAAATACGACAGAAACCACTCAGGTTAGAAAAAGCGCTTCAAGGGGTACAGAATTAAACCACAATTCTGTGGCACAAAGCTATTATTTATGTCTTGAGTTGGAATACTTTATCTGTCTAACACAATAAAACACAACAACAAACATAGAAAAGAGAACATAGCTCTGTGCTGGGGCCTTGTTTCAACAGAAGCCCGACACAATCTCACACACACAACCTGAACTCAGTCACGATGAAGTCAAACAGCATCTCAGTGAGAACTAAGACGTCAGATTTTCCTTATTCCAGGAAATAAAACTCTGTGACAAAAAGACACGGATTCCCAAACAAACCAAGAGCCTCACAGAACAATCTGTGCTGCAAGACTCCACGTGAGTTTTGGCACTGAAAAATGTGTAGGTCCATATACACAATGCAGTGTTATCAGTAACTGTTCACACAAAAACACCATAGAGAAGAGTGCGCGAAGGGCGTCGGCCTTAAAAGTCAAACAGGAGTTGGACAAAAAAAAACTTCAGCTTGTCCAGTGTTTCCTTCACTGTTAACGGTGCACCTTGACTCACAGACTCTATAGATCACAGAGAAAGTCTGAGTGAGTATCGCTGTGGAAAGTGTGCTGCCTCATCACAGTAACAAGAAAAAAGCTGCACCCCATCAACTAAATAACTACAGCATGTGCAGAGTTAATGTATCACAAGTCAAAGATGTTCCATGTCAGGGGTGCCCAATCCCGGTCCTCGAGAGCTACCGTCCTGCAGCTTTTAGATGCATCCTTGTTCCCACACACCTGAATCAAATGAATGGCTTGTTATCAGGCCTTTGCCAAACATGATGGCATGCTGAAGAGATCAAACCATTTGATTCAGCTGTGTTGGAGTAGGGATGCATCTAAAAGCTGCAGGATAGTAACTCTCGAGGACCGGGATTGGGCACCCCTGTTCCATGTAGATAAAATCAGATTAGAGCACCCACAGTAGCGATTGTGGCCACAGGTCCTTCACTCCTCTACAGGTGCTTTTGTGTTTGTAGCTGAACTGAAATGTAACGAGGAGGCTATCGACTCCTTACTGACTCCTTAGGGGGCACGACGACGTGACGGCAAAAAAAATAAAGTTTAAAAATTCCACCCGCTGAACAGGCTAATAAATAACAAAAGATCGATCACAAGAACAAAACGATGACATACTCAGTCCAATAGATACTGTACAAACTAATTACAGCCTCCTCTGCTCTGTGTCTGCGTTTGGCAAATCTCCACTTCGCTGCGCAGATTCGGTTCTTGTAGAAAGTTCACAGGTCGTGCGCAGTTTAAGAATCCTTTCTTGGCATGTGTTTGGCTTTTACCAGAGCACACCTTGTTGTCCATTTGGCACCACTGCTGGTAGCATAATTTGTTGTCGGCATGTGACATTGTCGTGTACAGAGCGTCCTCTACGTCACACAGCAGCATTTCCACCATTGTGTCTCTGTGAGTGAGTGAGTGTATGTGTGTGTGTGTGTGTGTGTGTGTGTGTGTGTGTGTGTGTGTGTGTGTGTGTGTGTGTGTGTGTGTGTGTG